TAGTATTCTTACATATAATTGTATATTCATATTGATATTCTATCTGTCTGACTTGCTTCACTTGTATGATCATCTCTAGGTCATCCATGTTGCTGCAAATTGGCATTGTTTCTTTTTATGGCTGAGTAGTACTCCATTGCATAAATAGGCCACAACTTCTGTATCCAGTCATCTGCCAGTGGACATTTAGGTTGCTTCCATGTCTTGGCTGTTGTAAACAGTGCTGCTGTGAACATTGGGGTGCATGTATCTTTTTGAGTTAGAGTTTTCTCCAGATACATGCCCAGAATTAATTCTAATGGATTTTGAGTTCCATTTTACTCAGTTGTTTATCTGAGTGCCTGTTACACGCCCGGCATGCTAGGTGCTGGGGGTATAGAGGTTGGTAAGACAGTCAAGATCATGGCTCTTGTGGTGTTTGCAGTCTAGTGGGAGGAGTCCATTTGACAATAGAAAAATAAATGTCAAGAGTGGTAAGTGGTTTTAAGAGAGTAAGACAGGCTGATGTGAGAGAGAAATCGGGAGTTGACTGTGGAGAAAGCCTCCCCAGGAGGTGACGGTGAGCTGAGACCTGGCGGCACTGAGGAGCCAGCTGAGCGCAGATGCTCCAAGTGGGACTGTGGAGAAGTTAGGAGACACTGGAATTCATATGGGGCACAGAGTGTAACTTTCTAAGCTCCAAATTTAATGGTAATAATCACAAAGGAAAAGCTTGTCAGATTGGACAAGATAAAATTTATGCATTTTTGAATTTCAAAAAAACTGCCATATTAAGCGGCAGACAATTCTGAAAAAAGTATTCTTATTAAGATAATTTATTAAAATAAATTTAATGGATTAATAAGAAACATAAAACTCACTAGATACGTGGCAAAGAAGTATGACAAGGCAGTTCCCAGAAGAGACTGTGTAATTCATAAACATCATTACAAATCAGAAGACGCACCAATTAAATGAGGAGCCATTTCTTAAATCTGCTAAATTGGCGTGACCTTCTTTTCTTTGACTAATACCCCACACTGGGACAAGTACAGGCAGCGGCATTCTCGTAAATTGCTAATGACCCTCCAAGTGTAATTTGCTTTTGAAAAGCAGGTTGGCAATGTGTATTAAAATCCATATCCGACATATCTGTTCTTTCCCAGTCATTTCACCTTTGGGAATTTATTTTAAATAAAAAAACAAAGCGTTGAGGGGAAAATAAACATTTACATCAGAACATGCCTCGGATTATTTTAGTAGGTATCTGGTAGCCTGAAAATGCTGGACAGCAGGGACCTGTGAGTGGATCAGGACGCCTCCACTCAGTGGCATTGTTACAAGCACTTGGAAAGGAGTGGTCAGCTGCAGGTGCGTGAGGAAATGCCTTTGAGACAGTGGACAAAGACAGACAGCAGCATGTGAAACTGGTCTTTGTTATTTTAGATGAGCACAAAAAAAATGCCTCTAAGACACACACCACAGTGTTAGCACTGGTGCGTTAGAGCGTGCACTAAGAATCTGTGTCTTAGGAAAAACTCCTCTCCAAAGACGTGCTGAGAACCTACATGCCAGCAGTAGAGAAACTGACTCACTGTTCACCTTGTTCCACAAAAGAGCTTTGAAGGTACGATCGTGTGGGAGAGCCAAGACCTCCAAGGCCTGGTGTCCAGGAACCTCCACAGGGTGGCAGTAAATGACGGAGGAGGGGTTCTCAGAGTCCTTACGGTGAGTCAGTCCTTTGTGGGAGGGGGCGGCGGACCTTCCTGTTTTTTAACATGTGGAAGGGTCTTTAAGTTTACTTTTGTACCAACTCATATGGAACAATGACTCTTATGTGTTTTACAACATATGTACTAGAAAATGTTGAGTCACCATAGTAAAGATGAAAAACTCAAATGTTCTGTGATTTTATAACTTCAACCTGAGTAAATACATAGTTTTGCCTTAAGATTAGTGCGTTTTAGAAAGTGTAGTGTTTTGTTTCTCAATCGTTTTTAAGTCAACATGCTTTATGTACAGTATTGAGAATATTCACGGTCTCACCTTGATGGTATGATGTCGGTTAAAATACTGCAGAGAAAAGCATCAGGAAGTAAGCCTGAGTACTCCCTGTCGCTGACGTTGCTGGGGTTCCTGAGTTACATTTTTCAGTTACCACATTTTCTTAAAATTTAAAACAGTTTGACAGGTAAGTTTCTCACAGTAAATGCAGGATGACAAAGTGTAGGCAAACTGAAAATGATGCGCTCTAAGCAAGTGGTGTGTGTGCTGGTGTCACAGAATCATTGGAAGCACTTGGCATTTAAATTCACAAGCTCAGTATATTTTCATTAGATGTTAACTTTATTCACATGAATTAACCCCTGAATTTGAAAACACTTGTGCACACGTGTGGTCAGCCAGGCGCAGCTGTGGACACAACAGGCCCAGGACTGGCCCACAGTGGAACTTACAGTCCAGTGAGGAAAAAAGACCCACAGATTCATGGATAATTACAACCTTAGCCTTGAAGGCCAGGTTTAGGATTTCATCCTTGATTTTATGAAAAGTCGTTTATTTAAGATACAATATTTTATGGAATTAGGGTTTTTTTTCTTTCCTTATTTTCAAAGCCTTTAATATCTTGCTTCCTTTTCTGTTTATGAAAGTTTAAAAAGTCCAAAATGTGCCAGAATTCTGTAATATTTAGTTGGCTGCACAAAAGGAAATCAGTTCACTTCTGAATTGAGGGCTCGGTTTAAATATAAAGATTCACAGGACCTGCTCTGGGTGAATATGGTTGTGGAGGACGAAAGACAGCTTACACACTCAGCTAACCCCCAGAAAGGCAGATGACTTAGTAGCCTGTTCTAAGAAACCCATGTGCAAATAAGTAAAAGTTTTCATCATAAATGTATGAAGCCCAAAGTTCTCCAAAGTCTTGCCCCTTGCCAGCAAGTAGTGATGTCACAAAAACTTTAAAGACAAGTCAGGCTGTGACCTTTTCAGTAGAAGTTAAAAACCAAAAAGTACTGTTAAGTTCTAAACAAGCCAAAACAATACAGAGTGTGCAATTTTTAAAATGCACATGCAGTCTTTTATGGGACTGCAAGGTTGGAATCTGTAGCGTTCACCGTCGGAGATTCCCTCTGCACTCAGCTGCCGGGTGTTCGGAATTAGATGGCCTCCGAGCACTGCTGTCTCTCTCCCAGCCGTGAAGTAACTGCTCTGTGCAGCACAGCTCTGCTAGAAGGATCTGTTCAGAGGAGGAACAGCCAAGCCGTAGGCCCTCTTAGGTGAGTGTGCGGAGGAAGTGCCGTGGCCGAGCTGAAGCAGACCCAGACCCAGGGCAGGGCCGGTGGGATGAGTGCTGTGCAGCACGGAGGCGGGGCATCGTGTGCCTGGTGAGGTGAGGAGGAGTCAGTCTCTGGTCACAAAGGGTCTCCCAGCCCCAGGAGGTAGGAGGGACTGTTGCTGGCAGTGGGCACAGGCACGTCCAGGCTCCTGCAACAACATGAGTCATCGGGCTCGTCTGAACTGTGTGCTTGGAGGGGCTCTTCTCTGCCGGGTAATAGTGATGTTTAAACATGTGCCTCGAGGAATCTGATGAATTTGAACTCACGGGCATTTTCAATCTCCAAGAAACCAAAGGTGGCAATAATTTTTTCACATGGTGGGGCCAGGATGTAAAATAAAATCAGTCTTTGTGATATTGTCGGTGGCAAGTTCAAGAATACATGACTATGTGAGTTGGAATTCAGAACACTGTCTGGACTGCTGGACCAGATCGTGGGCACTGTCGTTGACAGCGCGAGTGGCAGAACGCTGCTGTCACCCCGCGGCAGAGCTGCCTGGTGGACCAGTACCCTGGGCAGCTTTGTGTGCTGTGGACCAGTCACATGATGAGTTTTGCCGACTCAGTTTTCACAAATAAGAAGTGTACCTTCAGTAATGAAACATCGAGCACTTCTGTTCTCTTTCCTTTCAGGCTGGGGAGGGGGCGTTGCCCCATGAATTCACGGAAGGTGCGGAGGGAGTCGCAGGCGGTTTTATTTTCACTATTCAGGGTAAGTCAGCTGGCTGAGTCGAAAAGCATACGTACTCTCACCTACCTAATCTTCATACTCTGAACATGAAGGGTAATTTTTTTTTGTCATTGAAAGTAATAGTTTTGTTGATATATAATTCACATACCCTGTAATTTACCTCTTTTAAGTGTTTGAGTCAGTGGTTTTTAGTATATTGAGTTCTGCAACCCTCTCCACTAACTCCAGACCATTCCCATCACCCCCAAAAAGAAGTGGCTGTTTGTCTTCCCGAGCGACGCTCCTTTTACTCCCCGCATCTGCGAATCCCGAGTTCTGCACTTGTCATCTTTCAGAAGGAAAAACTCTTGTCCGCACACTTGCTGTTGGCCGTGTGTCCTGGTCATCACTTGGTGAAGAGAGGCTCTGCCCAGTGCTTCTCTCTGGCTCGCAAAGCCCTGCGGATCCTGGGTTCCTGTAAAAGGATCAGGACAGCTTCCCCAAAGGCTCACAGTGCCTGGGAAGGCAGAGGCCGGATTCTGCAAGGCGAGTCTCCAGGGGGCTCCCTTAGCAGCGCAGAGCTGCGGGTGGGCAGACCCTCTGTTCGAGGCCTCTGCCAGCAGTCTGAGGATGTGAATGGGCCGTGGCTTTTTTATTTCTAGCATCTTTATTTCCAGTGTTTCTGCATTAGAAGTATTTCTGTTCTTAGATCAGCCGTTAATACTAGGCTGGAACAGGTACCTAGGTTTTGCCCACAAGCTTGCCATTAAAAGAGATTTAAAAATTTAGGGATCCTTAATTTTAGTCCAGAGATTTTTCATAAAACCGTGAAACCACTCTGTCAAGGAAGGTATCAGTGTAGCTCACCAGAGGCCAGCTGATGGCCGGGCCCTGGGGAACTCAGACGAGGGGTCAGGCCACTCTTGGGGGCCAGGTACAAGTGCTACCACACCATCTGACTTAACGTCTAGCAGCTTCCTTCCTCTTGCCAGTTAGTTCAAGTTTGTACCGTCAGGAGTTTTGAAAACCTTGAGGGGCCCTCGAGACTTCCGGCACCAAACTGGTCTACAGGGAGCAGCTCCTGTTCCTGAAACAGCTGTTGAGCATAAATTTTCTCTCACTGAGGCCAATGGATTAAGCCTTGTCTGAGGACAATCCCTTTCAAACAAGAGAGAAATAACTCAAGTTTTAGGGTAAAGGGAATTTAAATGAATAGGTTTTCTTCTCATGTACTTGGATATATCTGAAAATCTGTATATAAGTTTTTAAAAAGCTGAGGATCTATGGTATTTAGAAGAATCACATGGTACACAAGTTTTCAAATTTTCTTGGGCGTTGGTGTCTCTCCTGGGCCCTACCTCAACCTACAGAGTTAAAAATCTTCAGGATTGGAGCTCAGATACCTGTATTTTAACAAGTTCCCTAAATGGATTTGATGCCTTTGAAGTTTGAGAGGCTGTAACCATGCGATTCTTTTAAATAGCACCTGGACAGATGATCAGACTTAAAACACACGCAGACGTACTTCTGTATACTCACACATTTCAGATACGTGCGTTAGTACAAAACAAAACGTACAACTGGTGAATGAAAAAGCCTGTACTTAGTTTCTCATCTGATCTTGTTATCAACCCTTTTCCTATTACTGCAGTTTTGTAACATTCTCTTTCCTTCAGGTGTTAAATTGTGTATATCTATCCTTATTTTTAATTGATTTTTTTAGCTTTTTGGGGGGAAGGGGATAATTAGGTTTACTTATTTTTAGAGGAGGCACCAGGGATTGAACCCAGGACCTTGTGTGTGCTAGGCACGTGCTCTACTGCTGAGCTGTGAAGACGCCACAGTTGAGTGTAAGAGTTGGAAGGGACCCAAGGTCATTTAGGCCTGTGTTTCTCAAGGGTAGCTGCAGCAAAGTTACAGGAAAGTCCCAGGTTAGAAACACAGCTCCCTGGGCTGCACCCCAGACCTGCTACATCTTTAGGCCTGGGGCCTAGGAATCTCTACCTCAGTGAGCATTCTGAGGGAGCCACTGATGGAGCCCCGCTCCTCCTTTCACAGGTGACAATACTGAGGCCCAGAAACGTGCCATGTGTCCCGTACCTCGCAGACCATGGCGGGGGTGGAAATCAAATACAGGTCCTCCCCGCCCCCAGCCCCAGCCTGTCTGCAGGTATGAGGCGTAGAGAGCAGCACGCCACGTTCCCTCCCAGTTTCCTTTCCCCAGCCCTCGGCCACTTTTTATTCAGAAACTTCCTAATTTGATTGAGACAGTTGAGAAAGCCCTGCCCTAGAGAAAGAGCTGCCTCATGAGGCTAGTCCTCCACAAACATGACAAGTGACTGGCAGCTCAGGAGGCGGTAGTTAAACTGTCTGTGAAGCACACGGTAGCCATGTGTGTTACAAGATACTGTAGATAAACCAGACGGGCTGCTGCAAAGAACGCCCATGTGCTTGCTGCAGAATTCACACATTTACATTTTGTCATATTTGCCTCCTTTTTTTTCAGAGAAAAAGCATTCTAGAAACAGTCGAAGCCCCCCCAGTCCTCCCCCGCCCTGTCCCTCTCCCTTCCCCTCGAGGGGACCCCGCTGTCCTGAAATTCCCATGTGCCCTCTTGTTCTTAGTTTTCTGCCTTCCACCACCCGTGTACGTTCATCACATGGAGTTTCTGGTACTTTGTCATTTATAATTTGTGGTATCATATGTACGTTTCAGTTGACAAGATTCTTTTTCTCGCTCAGCATTGGTTTTCGGTGCCATCGCTGTTCACATGCGAGATGGGGTTAGGTTTTTTACCTGCTGTGTTTCCCTCACGTAAACATACCACAGTGTAGCCCTTGTCTCTGGGCGCTTAGGCCAGTTCCATTTTCCTGCTGTCAGTAACGCTGCTGCAGTAAGTGTCCTTGTGAGCGTGGCACACACAGGGTCTAGGGCCACATCTGCACGTGGACTTAACACGTCGCCAGCACGCCTTCAGCCCGGCCTAGCGAGGAGCTGAGGCGTCGCTCTCCAGAGGGAGCATGCCCGTTTGTCCTCGCGCTAGCCATGTGCCCAGTTCCTGTGTCCCTGCCTCCCGGAGCCGGACAGCTGTACTTCTGCTGGGTATTAGTGCACAGCGTGTTGTAAGTTCTGAGTCTTAAGTTTGCTATAGCATTTTTCTCAAACTCTCTTCTCCTTTTCAGAAGGTGACGCTCTCTTAAAAAACCTTCATTCTCGCCCCCGAAGACTCCTTGACCACATAAGTAATCTTCAGGAAGAGGACGCCTTGCTGAAGGAGGAAAGCCGCCTCCATGGTGACATTGTCTTCGTGGACGTCATCGACACTTACCGGAACGTCCCTGCGAAGTTACTGAACTTCTATCGATGGTGGGTGCTGCTTTATTTTTCTTCTGATGTAGAAAGAATTCATCGACATCAAGCCACTGACATTTTTTTTTAAAAAAACAAAGCTAAGAGCCCTGACCACCTGGGCTGTGATCTGTCGGATCCTGGTTCTTCGTGTGGACTGATCTAAAAGGCTGCCATTTTCTTGCTCAGGTTGGCGGGTCCACAGTGTGAATGACACTAATCTATCAAAAACAAATGAGGCAGAAATTGATTCACTTTGAGTCATTCCCGCTGGCCGTAGCTGTCTCAGGCCCACATGGGACGAAAATCAGTGAGTGTGAAAACAGCCCACTGTCACCCAGTCACCCCTACCCCTGTCCCCCATTTAGTCACTGGCTCTCAGGCTCCTGGCCCAAGTCTGTTCATCTGAGTATCCACAGCCGACTTCTCTCTCCTCCACCCACTTACTCTGCCCGCTCTAACCCGGAACGCTTATGCAAGATAAAATTCCTCAGCCCTCAGAGCCATCACACCGTCACTTCCCGACCCTCCCAGGCGTCTCGGGTCGCAGGTGTAACTCCTACCTTTGTAATGATGCCAACAACGACATAAGTAGCAGTAACTGTTACTCACTGGATACTTAGTTGTTAATGTTGCTGAGCTCCTCTAGGGCCCTACCATTTGCTGTCCACCCTGACAGCAGAACTGAAATCTGCTTCTCTGTCCAGACCAAACCTATAAAGTATGTTTACATCTCTGCCTTTGGCTTTTTTTAAAATTATCAGTGAGCTTGTTTCCTGGGACCCGATTCCCAGCAGCCCACCCCCATCTGCCCTCCACACCATAAAGGAGACCGTCATTATTCACTCATCTTGAGTCAGTCAACTCATCTGTGGCCTCACTGCCTTTATCACAAAAGTTTGTTTCTTATTAGCATTATGCTGTTAATTGAAATAAACTTTAGAAACATAGGGTTATGCTTTTTGTTGTGGACTTGTAAATTCACCATTTTGTGACTTAGTGAAACTTTCTCCCGATTTCTTTAATTCATATTTCTGTCATCTGACTGGTTCCCTAGCAAGAGTCTGGGTTTTTGAAACAAAGAGGTACAGGGACTGGCGATGGGAAATGAAAGAGTCAGTTTTGTCTCTGGTTGCCACTGTATATTTTTTTTATGTCTAGATAAATGGAATCACCCTCTTGTGCCTTCCAGAAGGTCATTTGTAGTAGCTGAATAGCTAGAAACCGTTTCCAGGGGAAAATGCATTTCAGTGTGTTAACTCAACTTTGTAAAAAACCATGAACTGAGTGTCACACGAACAGCAGCACAGACCCATCTTGCCGTTCCGCAGCTCTCTGTGTGAGCCGGGGGACACCTGTCCCCTCATCCTGAGAACACCGGGCCCAGTTCACATGTCTCTCAGATGTGCTTAAGATTTTATGTTCCACTAAGCCAGATCTTCAGTGTTTTTTCCCTTTATACCTTCTAAAACCGGCGTGGCTGCTCAGTGGAGACAAAGTGAGGCCTGCAGCTGGGCGCAGCAGTGTCCTGTTATCGCAGGCGTTCCCGACCCTGGAAGAACAGAAGCTGGTCATGTCAGCGTGCCTTTGTCTCCTTGCAGGGACGTACTGACTCTCATCCCCCTTTTCGCCAACAGGACCGTGGAAACAACCGATTTCGATTTGTTGCTGAAGACAGATGATGACTGTTACATAGACTTAGAAGCCGTTTTTAACAGAATTGCCCTCAAGAATCTGGACGGGCCTAACTTTTGGTGGGGAAAGTAAGTTGGACTTTGTGAGGCCGCTGGCGTTCCTCTCCTGTCCCTGACCAAACGTCATTTACTTAGAATGAAATATAGACATAGTTTTCCGTGAGAAAATGTTGTCGGGCTAGGAGGTGTCCCTATCTGGCTTACTGTGTTTTACTCATCTGCAATTAGAGGAGGAAAACACTCTTAAATGGAAAACCTCCAGCTAACGTGTGTGGAGGAAACTGTGGCTCTTGTCCTCCTGCCCGACGAGTAAGTGCTGCTCAGATTAGAAGTGGCTGGGCTGAAGTTCTGCATGAGAATAAACTTGTGACCCGTTTCTGAAGCCGTTTTCTGTCTCTGTAGGAATGCAGTATGGACTGGTGATTCATTTTTTAATTTTTTTAGTGTCGGTACACAAGATGATTCAGAAACTTGACAGCGGGGACTCTGAATTTAACTTACTGGTCTTGCGTGTAAACCACCACTAGATAGAGTTCCCTAGAACATACCCTCTCCCCCTCCCCTCCCCTCCCCCCGCAGGGCGTTCCTCTGTAGTGACGACTCAGGACTCGGGCGTCTAGTGGTAGACGTGTCAGGACAGCCCCGAGAAGCCAGCTTACTCTGAATCTCAGTTTCAGGCTGAACTGGGCGGTTGACCGAACTGGGAAGTGGCAGGAGCTGGAGTACCCCAGCCCCGTGTACCCCGCCTTTGCGTGCGGGTCGGGGTATGTGATCTCCAAGGACATTGTCCACTGGCTGGCCAGCAACTCGGGGCGCTTGAAGACCTACCAGGTAAGGGCGGGGTACCGACCCACGAGTGTACTCCTCCAGGAAGTCCTGTCTGGCCCGTATCCCGCCCCCGGACCCAGAGCCGTCTGCCCTGGGGAGAAGCCTGTTATTCTTTCTGCAGGAACCAGCCTCAAAGGCGCAGGGTACACTCCTGTCCCTCAAATCCTAGCTCTAAATTCTATTCCTGAACCCTCTTCGAGCCCGCTTATTTTGTCTTCAGCTACATGGAAAGGTCCAGTCCCTGGAGGGGTGTGAGGCTGGAGGTGAAGCTTCCTTCTCTGCCGATTCTGCTGACAGTGTCGGCAGTGGCTGCCTGTCCTCCGACCCGAGCCTCTCCCGCTGCTCGAGGCGGACTCGGGTCCGCGGGAGGGGCTGGTGACACACGCGGTCTGAGCTCACTGTGGTGTGCGCACTGCATGTGAACGCCCAGTAGCTTTTACTGTGTCAGTGCTCACGCACACTTGGCATTTCATTTTAGAGTAATCACCAGCCAGAAGAGAAAGGTTACTTATGGGATGGGTGTGGCACTGCCCTTCCAGATGAAACCACATTGACATTCTTACATCTTAAACCTGACGGGCACGTGTAGGGTGAAGATGTGAGCATGGGCATCTGGATGGCGGCCATTGGACCTAAACGGTACCAGGTGAGCACGTTTGTGCGGGGCTGGGCTCGGGCTCCGGGGAGTTCAGGCAGCCAGGTTTCCCCGTCATAGCCTGGGCGGGAACCGGGCAGGAAAGAGCTGCTGGCATCAGAACTGGGCTCTCGGCTGGCTTCACAGTGAGCCGCCTCGGTCTCATGTAGCATTTTTCTGAGTTTAAAACTAAAGGAAATGCTTTGAATGGAAAGTCCCCTACCCATAAAGAAGAATTCGGTTTTTTAGATTTCATCAGAAATTCTTTGCAGCTTTAAAACGTAAAGAATCAGCTGACTTTAGATTCCAGCAGTGAGCGGGTCCAGGAGCCCTTCAGCTCTTCCGACTGATGCAGGTAAAACACTTGGATAACATACTGTGAGGTGTCTTTTAAAATACACTGGTAACTGAGCCAGAGAAAAGAGGAATGTGCCGAGACCAGAGGTGGCGCCTTGGGAAGGTGGCAAGCACAGGGCTGGCCTCCGCCTGAGAGGTTTCTGCTGATTCTCCAGCTCTGACTGCAGTGTCGCGCGGGGAGCAGCAGCGAACCTGGGCAAGCGCTCCTGCTTCAGGCCCCTCCCTGGCCCTTCCCGATGAGCACCGTCACTCCGGGTCCGATGGCTCTGACGGCTGTGGTCGGTGCAGAGCCGTCCCTGCAGACCGCTGCTCACCATGCTCATTTCCTGGTGTGTTGACTTTATACTGTCACCTCCTGTTCCTGGAAGCTGCGCTCTGTACTCGGGGTGCAGGCCACAGAGGACCGCCACTTTGGGTGCCGCGCTCCTAAGGGCATCACAGTCTTTGCATTTCTGTTTGGTACTCCCAGGGCTGCAGGACGCGCCTCCCACCGCAGGCCCCCGTGTGCCTGACACCCACCCAGCTGGGGTCAGGGCTGAGACACAGACCAGCCTCTGCGCAGCTTTGTTTTTAGTCCTCGTGGAGTGGCTCGGCCGCAAGGGGCATAGCTCCCAGGAGGCGGCGCTGGTCAGGTCCCCAGCATGGCCTTAGCACCACGGCATCTTCAGGGCATAGCCGACCCCAAGGCCGCACCCTCTCCAGTCCCTCTCCTCCCCCCCACCCAGGTCAGCCACACTTTAGAAGGGCCTGTTTTACGACAGCCCCCATTTTTGTGTTCTCGATGGATCCGTGCGCTGCCATCCTGTAGGGGAGGTCGGCTGGTAGGGAGCACACAGGCCCAGGCGTCCAGCAGCCTGGTATGGTCCCTCCTTGGCTCAGTTTACCAGCTTAAAGTCACTGTGACCCTGAGCAAGTGTCGTCTTAGTTCAGTTTCTCACTTGTGAAAAGGAAACTCCCCAGCTCACGGGGCTCCCGGGGCAGCACCGTGAGCACTCCCTCCAACCAGCTGCTCTTGCACCGCGGCTTGGCCGCCTTCAGCAGCGAACGTGAGACTCCATTTATGGTTTCTGAGCGTCCTCTTCACTGGACTCCCTGGGTGATCTCCTACCGCGCCCCAGGCCGTCTCTGCAGTGACCCCGTCTCCCCTGGGCCATGGGGCGGCTGGGATGCGCTGTCTGTCCGCAGCGAGGCCCTGCAGCACCCAGGTCAGCCTGCTGTTTCTCACCAGGACGGCCTGTGGCTGTGCGAGAAGACGTGCGAGCCGGGGATGCTGTCGTCCCCGCAGTACTCCCCGCGGGAGCTGGCCGCGCTGTGGGAGCTGAAGGAGTCGGGCGGGGACCCCTGCCAGTGCGCGGCCAGGTGACGGCGCCCGCGCTCTCCAGCTGAGGTTTGGTCTTTCAGGACGGTTCTGCTGGCACTTTGCTGGAACCAGCGTGGTACTTCCTAACATTTGCACAAAAGTTCGTTTTTAAAAATAAACGAATACTGTAGCATAAGAAAAATGTTACTTATATATTGGAAGACGCTTTGAAAAAATACCCAACTGTTTATAAAAAGATAATATTTCTAAACCCCAGTGTATCATTTCTAGTTAGTAATTTATTACCTGTCGTTTTTGGTTAAAACTCGGCTTGATTCAGAAATCTTTAGTAACCTGAAGTTTGACTTTCCACCTGGATTGCAGACTAGCTCTGTAGAGTGTAATTAGAATAATTAAGGCCCAAAAAGAACTCACAGAAATGCTCTGTGATCTGTGTCACTTACACTGAAGTTTGGGGTTTCTGGAAGTCATGGCAGATTTTGTGGCTCTGAATGACGAGGGCAGCTTGAGAAGGAGCCAGTGTGACTCTCAGTTCTGGGCCTGGTGAAGTTTTAAAGTTCATTTATGAAGGGGACGAATAGCACCCAAGTTTCCCCAAGATCACAGTTACTGCTCCCAGCGAAGCAAATGCTGACGTGTCGTAAGTAAAATCCAGCACTCGCGGGGTTTTAGTGCCACGGGAAAGGCTGTTTCTCAGCTGAAAGAATTCGTTTTGCTTCCTTCCGGCGTTGCCTGCTGTTTGCCTGTTCTCAGTGACGGCCCGTCAGGGCTGGGCACATTCTGCAGAACCAGCTTAGGTGCACCTGGGGAGAAGCAGGACGTGCGGCCTGTCGGCGCTGGGAAGGGCGGCGCCGAGGGAGGCCCAGCGCTCCCGCAGCTCGGGGGCTGCGCCTCCTGGCGCTGAAGGGATGTTGCCCAGACCGCCGCCCAGTCACCGCGCGACCTTTGCACCTGTCCCGTCAACAGAGGATTCCATTAAAACTGCTCTTAGGACAGACATTAGAGAGGTTCTATTTAGTATTTAAATCTTCACATCATGAAAGTCATGAACAATAAAATAAATATGAAACAAAGTCAGAAAACCATAGCGGGGGCAGAGGCTTTATTACTGCTGCTACGTACAAGCCTAGAAATGGTCTCTTCCCTCTACAGACACGAGCTGTTCTCTACTCAGGGCACGCCGTAAAGCCTCTGACAGCACAGCCCGTAAGCCGTTCGTCTCCCAGGAACCCAGCCACCACGAGCGGGCTAACCTCTGAGGTTTATCAGCTGGCTGTTACCATCGCACTAACAGACAGTCTCCGTTTTCCACAGAATAAAACTGTAATGACTGTTGGTCATTTTCTAGTTCAATCTCCCTGCCCGGCATCTAAAATTAGAACAGACAGGGGGTGATTAAGACAGATGTGACCCAGCCTGTTCCGTGCCCTCCCCTCTGAGCACAGAAATGTGGTTCCACTTAGAGCGCGTGGGCAGAGGTGGCACTCAACAGCACGGCACGCCGGGGACTCGCTGACTGCATGTTCTGCTGGGCGACTTACTTTGGGACTTTCGTAGGACAGGAGCAGCTGCGCCACGGGGACCTTGAGGAGACGCGACAGGAAGCCTTTCACCTTCTGGATGGTCATGGATTCTGTCAAGGAAAGGAGCCCATCAGTTCTCTCAAGTGACAGCTCCCTGTCAATCCGGCTCACGTGACAAGCCTGCAGTTGTCACCGCAGCTGTCAGTTCGTTTCACAGATCTTGGTGTCACACCACTCGGTGGGAGGTGGAGCCGACGTCTGACCTAAGTGCTCTTGGACACTGCATTTTCACACCCTCTCAGTGGTGGTTACTGGTTCCTCAGTCTGGATAAACCAGAGATCCCCTTCGCAGCGCAGAGGGGTGATGTGAGCGAAGTCATCGAGTCTCTGTGACTTCTGACCTGTGAGTTACCGAGAGGACGTCTCAGTCTCTGGCCCTCGTCTCCTCTGTGCAGTGAAGGGCGGACTGATGACCCACACGCCCCTCCGGCACCACCGTCTGTCACCATCGCAGTGTGAGCGCACTCTGCACGTGGAGCGGCACCTAACGAGTGGTGCTTTGGTTTGTTCAGAAAACGCTATGAACTTCTTTCCAAAGATGGTAGTCGTAAATACTGGATATTTTGATTAAGAGAAATGTAGTTTGAAGCTTTAGCTGGAGGTACAGCAGTAGTGTGGTGTTCCTACAAATGTCACGTGTTCAAGTATTTTTCTATCAAAAATTTTTCTAAAACCTGTTTTTATGCAACTTGTGATAATAAATGTTACCTTTATTTTAGAATAAAACTGGCCTGTTTGTGTGTGTATGTTGAGTGACGACACTTAGAGATACACGTCATGGCAGTTAACCTCACTTGCTCTGCTGTGTGAACACGTGACAGGCAGCCCTGCCCTTTCAGAAGCTGTTGGGGACCAGCTCTCATCCTGGGACGAGGATTGGCTCTCCCAGAACTGACACAGCCATCCTCCCACAGGTAAATATTTAGATTGTGTTTATTTTTTCACTACAATGCCGCAAGGCATTTTGGTCACAATGCGTATGTGTTTCAGACTGTTTATACCAGTTCCCACCTGACTTTACAGAAAGGGAATACTGGATTTCATGCCAGCCTCACATGACTGTCTTGTTTTTGCTAATCTGATGAGCAAAAAAAAGATGTTGCAGGATTTTTACATTTATCACTTTGTAAAGGTTAGTTATGTTCGTGGTTTGGTATTTACAGCACATGCCCTCAGAATGACGGTAAGAACATCTGCAGAACACAGGACTCGGGCTCTGAAGGTGAAGCGCAGCTGTTACATGGATGTCCTCTGGGAACGCTAACCTGCCAGTTCGACCCGGAGGTGACAGGCTCAGGCACACCCGCAGGCGACTGACACGGGGCAGGCGGGGAGGGGCGCCCACGGTCACGGTCACCGTCAGCCAGGGCCACGACCCCTCACCACCGGCCACAGTCCCTGCCCGGGGGTTCAGGGCCTTCCCAGAGTGGCCCCGGAAAGGAAAGCCTGACAGATCTAATGAGAACCTTCCCCAGCAGCGTCTGGAGGGGAGGACAGGTGCAGAGACGTCCACAGCCAGCCACCCACACAGGAAGCTCTGGTCCCTCTCACCTGCCCAGCCTCAGGGCTGCCTTTCCTGACAGTCAAGTTTGAAACAAAGTAAGGAAAGGGGAACCGCTAATTTTAATTTGTCATTGTGCAACAGCAGCAAATTCCACATCAGAGGAATAGCAACTGGATTACTAGTAAGTAAAACGGAGTAAAGCTGGTAACTGGTACTGAACGATGTTGTCAATCATGGGCACAACCCAAGCCTTCCACAGGCAGGACTGTGATGAGCTTGTGTTACATGATAAAATGAATTTAAAAATCCGTGTGCGTTCACGGCACGGACAGGCAAACAGAAAGGTGTTTCACCTGTCATTTACGGTGTGATAGGTATCTTATTTCTTCAAATCCTTGCTATGCTAAATTTCAGCTGTTTATATTTTTGTATTTAACTGTGAATCAAGTTTAATTTTGAGATTCACGGTGTACTAAAGATTCAGACTGTAATTTTTCTTTTCAGTGCAAATTTAGGGTAAGTTATGTTGATCTAATTTGTTGACATAAAAGTACTTATTTTCCAAATAAAATGAATTCAGTTCGAGTAGCATCAAGATTTAAAGTTCTGAAGTTTTTTCCAGGAAAACCAGCTCAGTGCTTCCATGAGGAGTCAGTGCCCAGGAGCTGTCTGTGCAGGGCCCCTGGCTGGTGAGGAGCAGGCGTCATGCCGCTGAGCCTAAACGCCTGCCCCCTCACAACGCAGCGCCCTGTTTCACGAAGGGAGAGCCAGACAGACCGCGAGCCCAGGACGCCCATCTCCCTGGCTGAGAAACCCCCAGAGCAACAATGGGGGAACTAGACAGCCGGGGGCGCAGAGAGGCCTGGAACCCAGGGCTGGGCGCACGCAGCGGGCCACGCAATCCTAACAGGGCTGCTTCCCAGACAAGCTGAAAACTTACAGGCAACCTGAGCTTTCAGGGGGAGTGGCGTTCGCACGATCGACTGCATTTTAGGACGTCAGGGACTAGCGAAAAGCCATAAGCTGCCTAAGTCCACATTCACACGCGACGCAGTTTCCCTCCCGGCAACGCGCGCACGGTTCCGAAGCACACAGGGGTGGCAGACTCCTCCTTACCTGGCAGGGGCTTCTCTACGACTTCCTGATCAAGTTCATTAGGACATTTTATCTTCAGGGCTTGAAAGAAAAAAGGAAGAGAGTGAGCCCTGTACTGTAAGGATTAAGTTACACGCAGGGACGCTGCTCTGGGGCAGCCGGGTTCGGCGCCCAGGAAGGGCAGGAGGCCTGGCGCTGAACGTGCCTTCTCTTAGGGCTTCGCTGAGGCACCAGCACCAGCACCAGCGTGGCTGGACCGACGTTCTGCCGCCTCCCCTTCTCCCTTTACTACTGCCTTCCGGACAATTCATCCAGGTTTTCAAGCGCAAGAACACTCACACATTTCCAAATCACAGCTCAGTTCCCTACTTGGCTAGTTCCCGCGTTTATCACACTAGCCAGTGAGCTGCAAGCATGGAATCTTGCTAAAATGTTGAACCTAAGAACTTAACGTATCTGAGAATCCATCATTTGTGTAAATACTGAAGTACTCTTTTCAGGGCGTCCTGAAGAGAAACAAGCCACCCCTGGGTCATCCCTGTGGCTCAGCCCCTGGGGACTCGGTGCTAATGGGCTGTGAATGTGAGGTTCTTACTTAGTAGCTGGTTTTTGAGCCGAAATGGCTGTTGCGTTTTGAGCTCCCCATCCTCAGGTGCACCGTATTCTGTGGTAGAGACAAAAGGAGGAAATAAACCCAAAGCCCACTGCAGAGAGAAGCACGCAGGTAAGTGTCAGCACGGCCCTCTCCTTTCCCAGATGGAGCAGCGGCAGCGGGGACGCTAACCTGGGGCCTGCTCGCTCCCTGTCACTCAGTTACTTCGTTTATTTTTGGAGGGATGGACGGCAGCCGCCTCCTAGAGTCCTCCTCGGCACCTGTGTCCCCCGTCCAGAGACAGCGCCCACCAGCTGCACTGCACCTCCAAATACTTCAAACCGCGATTCTCAGTTTCACCTTTGGTAACGGCTCCCTCTCTCCCCGGGTCACGGGACACCTTCCCCGGGTGCAGCCATCCGTGCAGGAAGGCCATGCCTTCTGCTCCAGCCGGGGCTGGGCCCGGGGTGACTTGGGTGTAAATGCGCCGCATCTGCTCTGTCCTGAGCAGGGAGACCCTGGGCCCTGCCTGCCGGGCTGCTTTACTTAGGAGCCCCCTTCCCCACCCGCAGTGACAGAGACCAGGAGCCTCAGGGCCCCACTGCAAAGCGCTTCCCACAGGCAGCTTTTCTTCTTCAAAGATAACGCTCCAGCCAGACGCGTTTACATGGGAGCCTCTCACATCAGGAGATAAATAAAAAAGAAAAGCACATACAAGGGAAATTCGGAATATAATGAAGTCAAAACAAAATGGTGAGTCCACCAGGGACAGAGAGGAGGCGCGGGCACTGGGCACACGGGGCGCCAGGACAGCGCTTGACTTTCAGGAACAGTAAAGTTACCTGGGGGGCACAAAGCAACACCGGAGCCTCGGTTCCACCTTCAGTGCTGCTCACGTCCAAACCTCCCGGGGTGGGGGTCGCCGGGGAACCCCTGCCCCTCCTGACCGGCGGTCCCCACCTCCTGGGACCCGGCGGGCCTGCGGGGGCCAGGCTCTCCCTGCCAGGCGCCCC